ATAATCCAGGGACAGATACAGGGGAGAGGGTTGCATTTCTGAGGAGCCTCAAGGAGTCTTGGGTAGCTGTATCTGAGCACAGGATGGAGAGGAGAGAGAGAGGTGGTCAGGGAGGTGGGCGGTGAGGCTGGTATAAAAGGCCTTGAGTGTCACTGATGGGGTTCTGAGCACTGAAGTGACAGGCAGAGCTGAAGTGTGGAAAGAAGACTCAGGCAGTGTGAGGAGTGGACCAAAGGGGCAGGTCTGGAGACCAGCGATGAGACACCAGGCTGTCATGCTTACCGAGGCGTGCCTTCAAGAAATACTGAACAAATCAGAAAGGACCCAATGGAGGTGATCTAACTTCCACTAGAGAGTTCTGCAGACCAAACCACTGAAATGCACAAAGGTCCTCAGAGCAACGGGTTGACTGCATTTTGTTGTAGTCTAAAAAGAAAATTTTTAAATTTTATCTTTTTTTTTTTAAATGGAGGTACTGGGGATTGAACCCAGGACTTTGTGCATGCTAAGCACCTGCTCTACCACTGAGCTATACCCTTCTCTGACCGTATTTTGGATGTGTCTTACTGGTGACCATGAACTTAATCACAGACCACAGTGTGTATGTGGGAAGCTCTGAATCTTAACTCCTAGTTTCATCTGAATTTTACAATCACTCCTTTCACACCCAGAGAGGAAACGAAGAGGACACAGCTCGGTTCAGTGTGACCACCATCTTCCTCCTCCTCACCACCGAAGGCTGGACGCTGGGTAGAGTCGCCCGTAGGTGTCATTAGAACCTACCCTGGGTTGAAGGGTGAAGCCATCGGCTTGCTTTCTGGCTAAACTGTGAAACCAAGCTTGTCTGTTTTCCAAAAAGGCCTGGTGGGGATGCTTGCAGAATAAATGTTCTGGGTGACCTTTTGGTCCCCACTCAGCTTTGAGCTTTCTTTGTATCCTGCTTGCCAAAGAGGATGAGATGGGCCCCAAGGCATTGGCAGGGGATGGAGATTTCTCATTAGCCAAGCTCGGTTCCGCTCCAACTTCTAGAAGCTGCTGAGTTCTGCACGGGATGGTGTCAAGCTAGATTTGATCTCCTGCCTGTTGGCGTGGCCTCAGAAAATGAACCACATCTGAGTCCAATGGGGATTTTATTTTCCCTTTAGAAACTCTCTTTGGACTTAATAACAAGGCTACCCGATGCTGTCTCATTACAGCCACCACCCCCCACCACACACACACACACAAACACACACTCAAAGGCATATGCACCCTCGCCTACCTTCTGGAAGCACCTCTTAATTAATATTCCCCAATTCTAATTACTCAAAGTTTCTTCAAGTTCCTCCTTAGTACTTCAGAGTTCTTTAGAAATGTTAAGCTTTACACACACACACACACACACAGCCCTCCTCTACCAGACTACATGGTCTTTCATGTTTTATCCGTTTTATCCCCACCCCACCCCTCACGGTGGTGCCTACTTCAGAGCCCCACTTCTACAAAGAACAGTCCTCATTTAACGGTGGCCCTCTGAGTCACTGGGCTCTGACATTCATTCACCGACGTTCTAACAATAACACTTCACGTCGAGGCACAACCTCTCTCGGCATTCTTTCTCTCCAGCCCTTTCTTCCAGTGGAAGTAGGTCAGCCCTGCCTGCAGCACGGAGAAAACCTAGCCGGACCACAGATGAGTCAACGGCTTTCAATGGCTTTCCCAGCATCAAACAGCAAATGGCAAAGGACCTGAGAAACACGCTGAGGCCTGCTTCTCCCAAGATTCTCCTGTACCATCTTGTTTGTCCCTGTTTTCTCTTGCATTCATTCTGCTAGACTCACTTTCCCCCCCCTTTATTCCTATACGTCAACGGTAGCACTGGGTAACAGGGAGGGGGGATCTTTATTATTCTGTCCTACCTTTTCTGGATTTGCAAAATTTTAATGTTAAGAATTTTCAAATTAAGAATGCATCATAGCATTAAATTTTTAAAAATTACAGAACATGTTCACTGCAAAATTTCCACAAATGCAGAAATGGTTCTCTTCTGCTGGCAATCCATCTTGCTTCTCTTCCCAGAGGAGACCACCCTTAACTGCTTGGTGTGAACGTCTCCATCCTTGGGTTCTACACATAAATGATTTAACCGAAATAGGATTATACTACCTGTAGATCTTAAATGACTTTTTCAATGTACCGTATGTAATTTCCCATGTTAGTTCAAGTAGAACTACTCTGTTCTTTTTAAAGGCTGAGTAGTATTCCACAGTTTGGCTATATATCAATTTACCTAATCATTCCCCCCCACTGATGGATTTTTAGGTATGTGAATATTTTTATAGAAGAGACTTCTAGGAGTGAGATCGCTCATGCAAAAGGCATGTACATTTTATATTTCTAAATGCACTGCTAAATCACCATCTATTTGTACTTGCACCAACACTTATGAGAGTATATTTTTGCACAAATGTTAATTTCTAAAATGTTGCCAGCCTGATATATACAAACATCATCATTGTTTTGTTTATATTTGCTTCGTTACCTGTGAGACTGGTCATCTCGCATGTCTGTTGGGTATTTATCTCCTCTCCTGTAAACACCCTCTTCATATCTTTTGCTTCTTTTTAAATGGATTTTGGTGCTCATTCACTTGTACAGGACTCTTTATAGACTATGGATATTGTCCTTCCATTTGTTTTATTTGTAGAAAATATTTTCTCCCAGACTGTCTGCTTTTTAACTTTGCTTATAGGGTTTTTCACTATTGGTGAGAACTTACACTCTAATACAGCAATAATGTCTTGAAATTTTCCCCTTTATGGCTTCTAATGTCATACCTTCTCTATCTCCAAATTATATTATATGCACATATGTAAACATATATGTATGTGTATATATATATATATTACTGTATACTTTTCTATAATACAACTGTAATTATATTTTTAGGATTTTGAGTCACCTAAGATTTATTTTTGTATGAGGCAAGAGGCTTTACATAATGTTTTCCAAACGTCTTAAATTATGGTATCGGTAAGGTCTGACATTTGGTAGGGCAAGTTCTGCCCTCTTTATTGCTCTTTATTTTTCTTTTCAGAAAACTTTCTTCAGTATTCTTATATTCTTCTAGATGAGTTTCAGAATACATCGAGTTATAGTTAAAATTATTAATGGCATTTTTGAATGACAATTGTATGAAAGCCATAGGTTAATTTGGGGACAACAGATACCTTTAAAATATTCAATATACCCCCTAATATACTCCCCATTTTTAGTTTTGGGTCTTTTTCTTACATCTTTCAGTTAAGTTTTACAGTTTTCTTCACTTTAACCTTCCACATTTTTTGCCAAGTTTATCCCTTAAATGTTTTCTGCTAGTTGTTGCCAGTGTAGGTTTCCCCTGTTATAACCACTAATTGGTTATTGACGACATAGAAGCAGCTACTGGCTTTGAAATGCTGGGTTTATATCCAGCCCCTTCACTCCTGTATTACTTCTAGTAGTTCTAATGGTTCTAACGTCTCTGAGTTTTCTAGGTAAATAATCTTTTTTGCCTCTAGAGCTGATTGTTGCCTCAATGTTTGTAATTCCTACTTTACAAAAAACTCACTGCGTTAGCTAGGAAAATGAGTAAAGCTGTAAGACAAGAGATCCCTGCTTGTCCTAGACTTTGATGAAAAACGTCTTTAACACTTCCCATCCTTAGGGTCTGCTCTAGAATCCTAAGTAGACACAGTCTGAGCAGCTAAGACAGTTCCATCCAGCTCCACTGCACTGAGAGTTGTTTTTAATCAGAAATTATGTATTAAATTGCCTCACATGCCTTTTTAGTATCTGCTGAGATGAACATGTGGTTTTCTTCCTGTATTTGTTAAGCCTGAGGTTGGTATTTCTCCAAGACTTTCTTTGAAAGATCCAGGGTGGACAAGATCGACCCCGTGGTGTAGACTCTGCAGTTTGCTGGCACATTGTTTTCCTTTCTAAAAGC